TACTCAGGGGCCAGGCATCAAGGTAAATAAATATCTTTACTTCTACATAGAAGGGTGCACAGCACATGGCCTGGAAGCCGGGGCACACAGAGCAGGTGGTCTGCTCGGCTTTTTAATCCTGAGGCCCGTGACCTGTCCCTCACTCTTGATTGGAGCTCAGGCGCACAGTCTTTCCCGATTGGCTAATTCAAAGGGAGGGGCTGGCCTTTGCCATTTTAAGATGGCGCCCCCCAGGGGAGCTGCAAGTCATGCGGCCAGCATGGTGGCTGCCAAGTCACACAGTCCCAAATGGCAGCTGTCTAAACTGTTCTTTGACAGAAAAGATGACTTGTTTCTTCTCACAAGATGAGGAAGACAAGCGGATGATGTTCCTGAGGACAGCGAAGTCCTGAGGATGGCCTGACCAATGTGGCTCAGTGGTTGAGCTTCGACCTAGGAACCGGGAGGTCATGATTCTGAAGTATAGTAACCTCCATCTGGGGTAAAAACTGCTGTTTAAAATTTTAACCCGGCTATTCTGGCTTCTGTAAACGCTTGCTTGCTTAAATAATAGGGAAAATAATAAGACTACTCCCCACTCCAGAGAGGCCATAAACTATGCCCAGACAGAGTTGTCAGTGCTGGCGCCAGGCCAGGCTTTGAGATACGGTCTCACGGCCCTGTCCCAGGAAACAGGACTTTTTCTCAGAAGGTCGGGAAGTCTCGTTCCACATTTGGAAAACAAAGAGCCGAAAAACATATAAATTGAAAAGACTTCCACCATATTGGGCCGCAGAATTTGAGAAGCAAGAGTTCCTCCGGGCCTGCTAGCGCTAGCGAAAATGAACAGGACTCCAAATAAATTTGGCTTATTGATTAAGGCGTCTTCTGATTTACAATATAACAATTCGATTCCCAGTCAAGGCAAAGCCCGGGTTGTGGGCTTGATCCCTAGTAGGGGGCGTGCAGGAGGCAGCCAATCAATGATTCTCTTTCATCATTGACGTTTTTCTGTCTCCCTCTCTGAAATCAATAAAAATATATTTTAACGAAACAAAACAAAACTCTGAGGATGGCAGAACCTGTTTAGAGGAAGTGCAAGAGGATGCACAAGAGGATGGGGACAGGCCTTAATCTTCAGCCAACGAGGGGAGGGTGTAATGGGGAGGACAGGGGTGTAGCCAGATGACAGGGGGTGTCAGTTCAGGCAAGGAAGTAAGAGGATGGCTGTGCATACAGAAATTGTTAACTATGTTGTAATGGAAAGGCAAAGGTAGGAGGCTGGGTTAGGGTGGAAATACAGGGATAAGAGAGGGAAGATGGCTTCTGGAGTCTCCATCTTGTACGGTAACCAAGTAGAGACCACAGACAAGGAGCATGACAGATGTAGCATGTCAGAGGTTGGGCTGAACACCTCTTGTGCAGCAGCTCCTGGTGGGTGGGGAAGGTGTGGGCCCTGATAAACTACACTTTTAAGGGCGTTTTAGTTTCCTCTACACTTTCACTGCAGCCCAGTGGATCTTCTCAATTAAAAACACCAGGTTGGCCCGGCCGCTATGGCTCAGTGGTTGAGCATCTACCCAGGAACTGAGAGATCATGGTTCCATTCCCGGTCAGGGCACATCCCCAGGTGGTGGGCTCGATCCCCAGAAGGAGGTATGCAGGAGGCAGCCAATCCATGATGTTTCTCTCACCAATGTTTCTATCTATCCCTCTCCCTGAAAACCAATAAAAACATTTAAAAAATTAAGGGCTCTATTAAAACAAAACACGACACAACACACACCACCAGGTTGAATGGGGCACAAATCTAGTAGGCAATAGTCACAATCATTAACTGTCTCTCCAGCATCCACTCCAGGCTGGCTGCTCCAGCAACCCTTTGAGGTTGAAAAACTGACCAAAGCTGTCCAGGAATCCTCCATAGAGGTGGTTGTTGGGAATCAGGATCCTACCTGCCCCTTACTTTGCTTGGGGCCCCTTTGATAGGGGCTGCCTTAGAGGAATAAGATCCTCAAAAGCAAGTTCTTTAAAAAATGTAACCTTGGGCCCCTCCCAAGAAAGGTCTACAGCAGTGATTTTCAACCTTTTTTAAATCTCATGGCACACATAAATTAATTAATTACCAAAATTCTGCAGCATACCAAAAAATACATTTCCTGCCCATCGAACAAAAAAAAATAGGTATAATTTTGATTCATTCACTCTGGATGGCTATTGTGTTGGCTGTTACTGTTTTATTTTTTAGTGATTTGAGAGAGAAAAACATTGATTGGTTGCCTCCTGCATGAGCCCCAACCAGGATTGAATTCAAAGCCTGGGTACGTGCCCTGACCAGGAATTGAACCCTCCACCCTTCGGTGTATGGGAAGATTCTCCAACCAACTGAGCCACACCACTCAGGGCTGTTGTCATTTTTTAAATTTGACAATCTAAAGGAAAAGAGGCAGGTGCCCCTGACTAAACAGTCAGGTATTACATGTGGCATGCCCTAGCTGGTTTGGCTCAGTGGATGGAGTGTCAGCTTGCGGACTGAAGGGTCCCGGGTTCGGTTCTTGCCAAGGGCACATGCCCGGGCTGTGGGCTCGATCCCAGTGGGGGGTGTGCAGGAGGCAGCCAATCGATGATTCTCTCTCATCATTGATGTTCCTATCTCTTTCTCCCTCCCCATCCTCTCTGAAATTAATAAAAAAATTCTTGTGGCACACCAGATGAAAAATCACTGGTCTGCAGACTTGGAGTCAGAAAACTAGAAACCTTTCCTGTTCTACCACTTGGTAGCGCTGTTAGCTTAGCCAAATTGCCCTGCTTCTGAGAGGTAAAGCCCCTTAGTGTTAAAAGCCAGTTATTACCTTCATCACAACCTGGAAAATTCTAAACTTAATCATCTGAATACAGCTGCCATTACTTTTACCAAACTTTTCATTAATCTCAAGCTCTATTTGTTTATGAAAGATATTCATCCCTGGCTGGGTAGCTCAGTTGGTTAGCTTGCAATTCAGAGCACATATAAGAATAAACCAATAAATTTATAAATAAGTAGAACAATAAATAGATGTTTCTCACCCTCTCTCTAAAATCAATTATAATTTTTTTTTTTTAAGAAAGGTTTTCAAGTTGGGGGGAGGAAGTTGCAGAATGTCTATTATTTATGTGAAACAGAAACAGAGATACAATTAAGCATCGTTGGGAGTAAAATGCCTGTGTAGAGAGACACAAAAAACTTTACAACAGCTGCTAAGGAGGAGGGTACCTGGGGGAGGAAGATAGACTTTTCCTCTCACATCCTCTTGCTCATTTGACATTTTATATCATGTGAATAGGTTATCAGTTCAAATTTCTGTGTTAATAAAAAGCAGTAAGGTCCTGCCGGTATGGCCCAGTGATTGAGCTTCAACCCATGAACCAAGAGGTCACCAATTCGATTCCTGGTCAGGGCACATGCCCAGGTTGCAGGGTTCGATCCCCAGTGGGGGTGGGGGTGTGTGCAGGAGGAAGCAGACTGATGATTCTCATCATTCGTGTTTCTATCTCTCTATCCTTCTCCCTCTAAAATCAATAAAAAGCTTATTTTTTAAAAAGTAGGTACAGCATGCACCCATTTCTGTAATCATATCTTTACAACTTTTAAAAAAACAACCCTCAGCCCTAGCTGGTTTTGCTCAGTGGATAGAGCATTGGCTTGCGGACTGAAGGGTCCCGGGTTTCCGGCTCGATTGAGGGGGGGGCGGGGAGGGCCCGCTCAGGAGGCAGCCAATCAATGATTCTCTCTCATCATTGATGTTTCTCTCCTTCTTCCTTTCTGAAATTAATAATTTAAAAAAACACACAAAACAAACAAACAAACAAAAAACCCTCAGCCAAGGATATGTTTTTTTTATTTTCTAAAATAATGTTACTTGGGTTCTGGCTAGGAAAGAATTCAGAGCCAGACCCAAACTATACGGGAACATTTGGTAAATCACATAGGTAAATAAGTAATTCCTAGAAGAAATGGGCTTAAGAAACAAGTTATAGAGGTTAAAGGAAGGGCCCTTGGAGCTTGGGAGTGAGGAAGCTAATGGTAACATGCCTGGGGCAGGGAGGAGAGGGAAGGGAAAAGGAAAGGGAAAGGCACACATGCTCCCAGAGGGAGAGCGCCTGAGGATATGTTTTCTTGCTTTCAAAGAGAGGAGGGGGGTGAGGGGGAGAAGCATGGATATGAGAGAGAAACTTTGATGGGTTGCCTCCCAAAGGCACCCCAATCATGGATTGAATATAAACCTAGGTATGTGCCCTGACGGGAACCGAACCTGTTACCTTCTGGTGTATGGGAGGAAGTTTCAAGCAACTGAGTAACCAGGTCAGGGCCACCCGCCCTTCTGAATAATAACTATAATCTGGGGCATTTGTCCTGCACTAAAATTCTCCAAGTGCTTTTTAAAAAAAAATTTTTTTTTTAAATTGATGTCAGAGAGGGAGAGGGAAAGAGAGATAGAAACATCAATGATGAGAATCATTGATTGGCTGCCTCCTACATGCCCCCCACTGGGGATCAAGCCCGCAACCTGGGCATATGCCCTGGCCAGGAATCGAACCGGCGACCTCTTGGTTCCTGGGTCAACGCTTAACCGCTGAGCTACACCCGGCTGGGCTGCCAAGTGCTTTTTTATTATTACTATTTCGTAGAAAAGGAAACGGGGGATCGATCAGACTTTGGTTTTACCGGGGGCCTCAAACCTAGGGCAGGCACTGGACATTGCATCGTTTACAAATTAGCTGTGCCGTCCCTCCGTTTTTGCAAGGAAGACCCGCTACTAGGCTATAAGTCTTGAATTTCTCATCTCTTTCAGGAAGAAACCCTTTTCAACAACTCCTTATTCTGGACCCAGCCTCGCCTAACAACCATGCCTGTCGAGCGCCAGCCTGACCCTTACACTGGAGGGGGCAGAGCTTAGTTTAGATACAGGTTGTACATCAGGGATCTTACACGGCGCTCGGGAGGATTCCCCGACAGGCTTGTAAAGAAAAGGTAGCATGTCCTCGGTCCCCAGGATCTTTCTTTATAAGACCAAACTGGTGGCCCAGCGTCTGAGTCCCAGCACCGGTTCTCCCGTGAACCCTCAAGTCTTTTTTTTCGCAGTGCCTCAGTGTCTCCATCTGTGAAAGAGAGGCGGAATGACCCGACCAGCTCAGCTCCGCATTCCGGCGGCTCGGGACACTGCCGTCTCACACTCGCACCTCGGGTCTTCTCCGCTCCTTGCGGAGATGCGGGGAGGGGGTTGGAAGCTCGGCGGGCAGGCCGCCTTTCGAGGAAACGCCTCCTCCGCAGAGATCCAGCTATTATGAGGGCGGTAACGGGCCAGATTCCCAGAGGCGTTTCCGCCAACGTACACATGGCGGCGGGTTTAAGATGGTGGCCGCGCATGAGCGTAAACTCCGCGCTTCAGTGAGGACCAGCCACTCGCCCGGAATTACGTGAAAAGGCGGCTCAAAACCGTCAATAAGAGAGCGCTGACGTCGTCACATGATGTAGGCCGACCAATACAACGCAGGGAAAGCGAACAGTCCTCATCACGTGGCCAAGGAGGAGTCCGAATTTGCCACTGTCACATGACCAAGCAAAGGCGTGGAAAGGGGAGGGGGACGTTCCGACGCCACGTGACGAGCTCGCAACGTCTACGCCCTCATCACGTGACCAGAACCTACCTCCTCTCTTTTCGTCCCTCTCACTCTCTCAAGCTGGGTCTGCGTCGAACGCAACGCGGCGGCGAGGGGGCGGGGCTTCGGGTCGTCACGTGGCT